AACCAACCCATTAACTGCCTCTACTTAAGCCACAGCAAGCTTTAGTTTGAGACCGGAGAAGGCATGGAATGGGGCCCCCATGGCAGGATGGAGAAGCCAGAGTTTTCTAACCTTTCCTCGCAGGGTGGCTTCATCGTTTGAAGTTCTTTGAGTATCGGGCGAGCATATCTAATTCAACACATACAAAACCCACCAATCAGAAAAGATTTCTGAGTTATCCTTTTGGATTACCCGGGCCTCTGTTCCTTTCCATAGATGGGCGCCTGCTTACACCTGCTAGGTTTGTGTAGTACACCACTGTAGTCAACTTAAACCATTATATACTATCATTTGAAATTCAAAATCAATTCAACAAGCAATCATTAAGCACCTACTAAGAGAAGAGCACTATAGCAGACATTGGGAAATCAAAGACAAACACTAAATTGTCCCTTAGTCCCTGCCCTCGGGAAACTTACATTCTATTGGGAAGGGGGGAGAGAGTTATTTTTCCCCCATTTATAAAAAAATGATCCTTTAAATAAAGCCTATTATATATTATTTTCTAATGAGTTCATATGTATCTATGTGTTGTTTCCATATCGAGAGTACAAGTTCTTCCAGGGAAGGTCCTGTGTCATACTTCCTGGTAACCCCATAGTGGGCATTCAAGAAAAGCAGGAATCCTTTCCAAAATCATAACTGGGCAAGTTAAACATTTGTGCTCTGATAGCCCTTCTGGAATATCCTGGTAGGAATTATTTTTTTTTTCCTCCAAGACATGACATGGATTGAATTCCCCTCCTCTCATGGTCTAAGTGGTACCAAGCCAAGAGTTTCCTTGACTACAACCGTATAGAAAATCTACAATCAAATTTGGGGGGGGTGCGGTGGGAGTGAAGGCAGGGTACAGTAACAGCACCTTCTCAGCTAAGGCATCCATGGGCATTGGCATGAATCAAGGAAAAGAACGTAGAACCTCGATCTCCAGCTCCCCAGAGGCACAGGACTCCAGAGAATATTGGAGGTGAGGAATGATTGAACCTGGGACCAGGCTTCCCTCCCCTGGCACCACCACACACAGCATGCACACACAGGGGCAGAGAAGGGAGCATTCTGCAGCATGCATCACTGGTGGGGGAAAGGGTATCTTACCTGACCCAGACAGGGGCTCGGAAAGCAGGCAGGAAAGAAATAAGAAAGAAAGAAACATTGTATGAAGTGACCAGTACAGGAAGGTGTCTATTACTGCCCCTGAGCCTCCAATACTGATGTGCCAGGGGAATGCCTCTGGCCACACTGGGGTATAATGGGAATCTTAGAGATGACCAACTAAGTAAATGACTGGCTTTGAATCAGCTTTGCCTTTTAGCTCTTTCATAGATGGGAAAATCTCCCCCATTATCTGTTTTTTAAATTGTTTTTAAAGCACTAGGCTTATTATTGGTGTTCAGTGGTGGAAATTGAATGGAGAAAAGGGAAAATGAAGTCCCAGGTGTTCAAGGCCTCATCAGTATCACTTATCAATATCTACCTGTCATTTCCTAGTATGCAAATCATGGCATCCTAAAATGTTTCACCTTGAAGGAATAAGAGGTCATCGATTCCAACCCTTCCATGTGACAGATGAAGGCAAGGAAGTCCAAAATGAGGAAATGACTTGTTCAAAGACATACTGTTATTTGGTGGTGGTGTGAGGGCTGGGTTCTCGCCCTCAACTCCGTTACTCTTTTCACTATACAGTGATGCCCCAAATGGCAGTGTTAAGACAGTCCAAGTTTCCAAGGTAAGCCACGACTATTATTTCCACTA